TCTCTGATGGTGGCACGTTTTGTTAGAGTCACTCTATAACCTGCATCAGTCAGGGCACTCATGGTGCAGAGTAGAGGGACAGGATCTCCTCCTTTGACCTGCTGGTCACGCTCCTTTTGTTGCAGCCCAGGATACGGTTGGCTTTCTGGGCTGCAAGTGCACGCTGCCAGCTCATGTTCTGTTTCTCATCGACCAACACCCCCAAGTCCTTCTCCGCAGGGCTGCTCTGAATCTCTTCTCTGCCCAACCTGTAGCTGTGCCTGGGATTGCTCCGACCCAGGTGTAGGACCTTGCACTTGGCATGGTTAAACTTCATGAGGTTGGCATCAGCCCACCTCACAAGCATGTCGAGGTCCCTCTGGATGGCATTCCTTCCCTCCAGGGTATCAACCGAACCACACAGCTTGGTGTCATCGGCAAACTTGCTGAGGGCGCACTCAATCCCACTGTCCATGTCACTGACAGAGATGTTGAATAAGACCGGTCCCAACACCGATCCCTGAGGGACACCACTCGTTACTGGTCTCCAGCGGGACCTTGAGCCATTGACCACAACTCTTTGTGTGGCCATCCAGCCAGTTATTTATCCACCAAGTGGTCCATCCATCAAATTGATGTCTCTCCAATTTAGAGACAAGGATGTCGTGTGGGACAGTGTCAAACGCTTTACACAAGTCCAGGTAGATGCCATCAACTGCTCTACTGCTGTCCATCAGTTCTGTAGCCCAATCATAGAAGGCCACCAAATTGGTCAGGCAGGATTTCCCCTTAGTGAAGCCATGCTGGCTGTCACCAAGCACCTTGTTGTTTTTCATGTGCCTTAGCATGCCTTCCAGGAGAATCTGCTCCAAGATTTTGCCAGGTACAGAGGTGAGACTGACTGGTCTGTAATTCCCTGGGTCATCCATTTTCCCCTTCTTGAAAATGGGGGTTATATTTCCCTTTTCCCAGTCATCGGGAACTTCACCTGACTGCCATGATTTTTCAAATATGATGGACAGTGGCTTAGCAAATTCATTCTCCAGCTCCTTCAGAACCTGCAGATGGATTTCACCAGGTCCCATGGACTTGTGTACATTCAGATTTTTAAGATGGTCTCAAACCACATCCTCTCCTACAGTGGGCGCAAGGTCTTCATTCTCACAGTCCCTGCATCTGCCTTCCAAGACTTGGGTGGTGTGGTCAGAGCATTTGCCATTGAAGACTGAGGCAAAGAAGTCATTAAGAACCTCAGCCTTCTCCAAACCCAGGGTAGCCAGTTCTCCTGATAGCTTTCGGAGAGGGCCCGTTGTCCCTAGTCTGTCTTTTATTTGCAATGTACCTTCTTGTTATCTTTCACATCCTGAACCAAGTTTAATTCTAACTGGGCCTTAGCTTTCCTAACCTGGTCCCTAGCTTGTCAAAATAGGAGCTATTCTAACCACACAGAGCATGGGAGATATAGATCGAACCCAGCATAATGCGATAGACACTATTTACAACAAGGCAAGCTATCTCTGGGGATATAGATGCTAACTGGCAAGCAGGATAGAAAGGAGGCATGCTCAGGGCTGCCAAACCACTGAGGATACACCCACAACACGGAGCCAATAGCTTTTATGCCATCCTCAGGACACAGACCTGCAAAGGCATTACAGCCAGATGTGACATGTGAGCCCATGCTGCTCTGCCATGCCCAGGAAACCCACCTCAAGACACTGGTAGCAGAGAGCCATATGAAAGCAGTCAGAAAGCCCAGGAACAAGCCCACCAAACCCAGCCCAAAGTGCTGGGCCTGGCCATGAAGCCCTCTACCCTCCTGGCAATCACTGATCTGGAGTATCTCATTTTAGTGTTGGGGGTTTTTCCCTTCAGAAAGAGGAAAGCTTGTTAGATAGAAAAGGGATAATATAAAAAAGACCAGTCCAGCACCTTTACAAGAAAATGGTATTGTGCTTTTTGATAACAAGCTATGCTTCTTCTGGCAATTGAATGCAGATGATTAGGCATAATTCTGACCGAGTTATTTTGAGGCAACAGGCCACGGTGCTCTCCTCAGAAGAGTTCATAGCACTCATACCTTTGCAGACATTAATTCACATTGTGTGAGCGTGAGCGTGAAAATAACAGCGAGTTCATGAACTAATTTTCAGGCAGCAAACACTCCAGCAAAAGCTTATAAATATTTTTTAAACAACAAATGAGACTGTGCAATAAGCAAACAGTAAAGTGCATTTAAAAGTCAACCTAATGATGAATTTAGAGGCTTAAAGCAGCTCTTTTACTGTACTTGTTTGAAACTTTAATTACACTTTTAATCTCCAGCAATCAGATGTGATACTGAAGTAGAGTTTTATAAATTACTTTAGCTATTTAGTGTCTTTGAACAATCATGTATTTAGCATATTTCAGGAAGAGAAACCAGCTGAAGTGCTGCTGAGCTTTGTCAAGGTAAACCTGGAATTCTACAGGAAGTTTTTTAATTAGGTTTCAGAAGCAACCCCTAAATATCATGGCAGTGCTTGGCTGGGCATGCTGCCTTGCTCTGGGTGTGCCTCTGGGCTTGAGTTTTTTAATGACTGACACTTCTATTTATAGAGTGAATAGACGGGAGTTGCTTGGAAGGGAACATTTCTGAATACATTTCAGTGTACACAGATTTGAGTCATAAAGTCTGCTAACATACAGTTCCTGGTACTGGCCCCTTTCATTTTATCTCGAGATAAGAGTCTTTGCTCCACCCATGGCAAAGTGACTGCTGCCACTGCCACGCTCTGGCTTTTCTCTCCTCTTGACTGAGGGCTGGTGGTGTGAATGAGAGGTTCCTTGCCATCCCACTGTAACCTAACCTTAACCATCATCACACCAAGCCAGATTTTGCTTCAGTTCTTTTACTAAGGTGATATTTGAACAGGCAGTGGTGCTCTTTAGTAGCAATGCGCTAGAAGCAAAACCAGCAGCTGGCAGGTACCATTTATTACCTTCACAGAAGAATAACCCTGGATGGATTGGAAGATTAGCATTAGGGTACACGCTTCTGGATTGACCAGGCTGGTAACAGTCAAAAATAAAAACTACTGGTGTTCAGTATCCTCTGTAAAACAGGATTGATGGCTGTAATCATTTGCTACGAGATTCACCCGCTCTGTAATTGGCAATCTTAGCCCTGTGTCCCAAGCTTAAATGGGCACATATTATTGCAGAAGATGTGTTATTGTATCCTGTTCTCTGGGCAAACTGAGCATTTCACCCTGGAGGAATGTAGTTCTGTCATCTTTCAGAGACTTCATTGACAAAAAGTGAATATAACACTGAGAAAATATATATTAACTGAGGGTGCCTTAAGTGCCAGAGCAAGGACTTCGGTGTTGATAAATGAGAGGGAATTGGAGGACACACTGATATTGTGGTAAGACACAGGCTCATGCAGGTGCATGCTGACTTGCAGTGTGCGCTGGCAATGTTTTTTGCATCTTCTTGAAAACTACTGTCTTTCGCAAAGGTTCAGTGCTCTGTGCGCTACTAGTCAGACCCCTGGGTATTATGGGGCTGCCACAGGCTATCACTGAAAAGGCTCTGTTGGCTGTGCTCATGTTTAGATCACCTGTGCTCATCCATAGCTAAATGACTGGAAAACAGCAGTAGCTCTCATTTTAGGCTGCCCCAGGGAAAACCCATGAGAGCTCCTTGCATTTGGGATCCCTACATGTTTCTTTAGTGAAGGTGAATTTAAACACTTTTGGAAGACACCTGAATCTGAATTTCAGTCTTTCAAAGTACAGATCCCTTTTGGCATGGACTCTAGGTCACCCGTGCCTCCATCCTTGGGTGAGACATTGAACTGTTCCAAGTCGTCTTGTCCCCATCACTGAAAGACAAGCACTGCTCACCCTCTGGGAATGCTGTATGAAGCACTGATAGTCAGAACTAAAGAAGACATGCCTTATAAAACTTCTGGAGATGGCTCATTTAAGAATATAATCAAACCTTGACATGTGCCAAGAGATTATTCAGACATCTGCCACAAACAGGAATATCTGGCAGAATAAAATTCAACAAGCATGGAAAAAACGTCACTGACCGTTTTAATCACCTTGGTCTTAGGTACAGGCACACATCTAAAAGGCAATGCTGCCCTCTGTTATGTCTTCAGCTATTCACTAACACGTGGCTGTGTGCACAGAACCAGCTACTCCTATCGGAGCTTGGGGCTTTGAATTCCATGGATGACATGGAATAAAGAAAACAAAGCAGTCTCCTGCAAGAAGCTGAGCACCTTCAGTTCCTAATGAGCTTCAGAGAGTTAGAGAAGGCATTTTGCATCCAGCAAGGACAAAGTTATTGTAGTTAATTCTTCAAGTCCTAACCTTCACCCACGGCTTTTTCACTACATGAATCAGGCATTTACATTTAAATAAAAGCCAATATATTGTAATACCTTGTAATTCTGTATTAGTAGCATCCAACTTCATGGATTAAAAATGGATGAAATAGATTTTATTATGAGTTTAGAAGATAACTGTTACCTTTATTTTGGGGTGCTATTGAAGAGTTCAATTCAGAAATTTCAAGACAACCATGAGTCCAATGCAATCATTCTGTATAAAACTGTATGGGAAATAGTTTTACAATGAAAATGTACTAACAATGTATTATCTTCACATGCCCATTTTAAAAAAGAAATGTTACAATTTAACAGGAAATAAAGATTATTCCTTACTCACATTAGGCCTGACTCCAACACTGGTAATCAGATTGACTGCTAAATAGCTCCACCAATACTTTTCTTGTACTCACTGGAAGTACTTATGTAGGCAAATACTACTGACCCCTGCCAAAGGGGGAAAATCTGGGCTTCTCTGATTCAAGGGTTTATTATTAACAAAGCCCTCAGTTGCTCAAACCCCACAAAATGATTTCAACTGAACAGTCACACCACTAGTCGGAGAAAGGAACACATGTGATAAAGGAGGAAAATGAAAAAGCTCATTGACGTGTTGATATACAGCTGATAAGGAAAACAAAAACCCACCTAAAATAAACAACAGTTGAGTTTTAGTCGAAGCCCAAAGCAGCATCTGGTTGCTTTTCTCCTCCAGCGTCAAGATGTTTGCAACGATGCTGAAGGTATTTCCAGTTCTCGCCATCCTTACAGGTAAGTAAGAATAATAAACTGATCATAATAGCGCTGGAATAAAGGAACTTGTTGAAATAAGAGAGCAGGTGAACCTGACTGGCAAACTAGGAGACCACTCCAGATTCATTTTAGGAGGGAATGAAAATCATGGCTAGAATGCTATGCCATGTTGTGGAAATCAGCAAGCTGAGCACTCACTGGAAAGAGCTTTTGGTCAAGAACTGAATTTTAGCTTTGATAAATTAATGTTTTGCTCTAACGCCAGGAAGAGGCAAAGATCTCTCACATGGAGACATCAGGGTCTTTCAGGTGTTTTGAGGTTAGGTTTTCTCATGTTCACCTTTTGTTTCTCTTTGATAATAACCCTGGGAAATGCTATGGCTTCATGCTCAGGTTTACTTGGTCCCACCTCAACCAAAAATTTTTGGGGGATGCTTAACTTTAAGCATGCAAATAATCCCTGAAGTTAAGTGAGAACATTATACTTTGTGGAATCTAGGAATTATATGGTATATTAAAGATCATGTATTATTCATGTTTCAAGGACATTTCATCATGCTAAGCTTTATATTCAATATATACAGAAGCAGACATTTTAAGTCTGATGTTCCACGGAGATGAACAGCCTGTGTATTCACTAAAGAAAATGGAAGTTAGCTCCCACATTTTCAAGATGGAATTGCCTAGTTTAGATGCCAGAGAAATATTTTAAATAGCTGTTCCTGGTGTTTCAATGTTCTCTTTCTCTCACACACATAAACCGCACAGATTTTTGCCTTAGAAATGAGAAGTAATTCAGAGTTAGTACTGATACTTCTTAAACCAATGTCCTCTAAGTTTAAAATCTGGATTTACAACTAGAAGTGTGTCTGTACTGATGGGCACTGGCTGGTGGTTTCTATAGCGCCTAGGAAAAGATCGGCAAACGTGGATTTAATCCATGAGAGTTAAAATCTGCATGGGACTCCAGTGAAAGTGGACAATTCCCAATTAACTGCAGTGCCTTTCCCTGTAGCAAGGAAATGGTCTTACCATAACAGTGATGACTAAAAGATATGGATTAATTTTTAACAAGTTATAGTCTGTTCACACTGTTTTTTTCACTGAGTTACTTCTTACTCATGTGCTTTTTTCATTTAAACCCTGTATGTATGAAATGAGGTTACAAGTTTGAAACCTTAAACAGTGAACTAAACGCAAAGCAAAACTCTCATTAACTTCCGTGATGAGAGGAAAGGCTCTGTGTGTCCAGTTCGCTCCACGTTCAGTCAAAAGCTCCATCTTGCAATTAGTGATGGCTTTTAAGTAGCTTCAATGGACAATGGAAGTTTGATAGGGTTTGGCTTTATATTTTTACTGAAGCCTACATTTATATTGAAGCCTGTTTCAACTAAATGTATTTCTTCAAAATAGATAGCTTCATGGAAACGAGAATGCTTTGTGGAGTCACTTCTGCTAAAATCCATTCATTTTTCTGGAAAAGCCAGGTTCTGTGGCACTCCTGACTCCAAACTCAGAGAATGATAAGGGAAATATGTGGAGCAGACAGATGGAAAATGGACATTTCAGCAGAATGACCTTGTGCTGAAAGATCATAGCTTTAATCCTGCAAAGACTAGAAAATAAATACATGTAAACCTGGCAATAATTCTCTGCCCAACTCTGATTCTTAAAGCTGAGAACAGTGAACTGAGATATCTGAAATATTATATGGCTTTTATATTAGACCTCAGTGAATTCACAGGACGAGCAGGACTAACAGCCAGCACTGGGATCCTCTCTGTCCCCAAGGCAGGTTTAACGCATTTAGGTCAATCTCCAGCCATCCCTGTGGGGCTGTATTCACATATAATGTAAATCTTGATGCAGTTTAAACCTGCTAGTTCTCATCCTAGCAACCATTAATCTGGAAAGTACAACATTCTCTTCTTCCTTGCACTTAGCCTTTACTAAGCCATCAAACAAGGAACAGATTGAAGCCATCAAACAAAGAAAACAGACCCCGAAGAGTTCAGGCTCTAGGTTCAGATAGGTTTGCATATTGTAGCAACTAATGGATCTGCAAGATTTACATGGTTAAAAACGCCAAAATAGATTATATGTATTTTTTAAACAGTGTTTTCCCTCATAGGCTAATAATTTGAGAAAAACAGTCTTTCAGTATTACTGGAGGTTCTGCTTCAACTCCCAAAAGCAGCACCCAAACATAAGATGCACAGATATCTTATTGAGAAGAATATTCCATGTGTTTTGTCTCTATCATTCATATATGTGCAATAAGCCCATGTAAAAATTGTTATTATTATAACATGGAGTTCTCACTTTGCCTGTTTTGCATAGAAAGCTTCAACAGACTCATGTTTTCCATCACACTCAAAGGAAATATATTCTCCTTCAGAATCTTCAGGTGGTAGCTTTAAAACCAGGCTTGGTGATCTAGCAAAACCCTGAAATTCAGACTGATTCTTCTGACAGCTCTTGCTTTGTTGCCATAAGTCACTATTGTTAGTAACTCATATGAAGGAGAGAAACAGATAAATATTGTAAGATGGTGTTTGATTCCTTTCATTAATATGACTGTGTAGCCAAGACTGATCGCAAAACTAGGGAAAGGGCTCATATGTTACGTTTTCTCCCTTTGTGCTTTGAGCACAGCAAAAAGGGTTGATCAAGTTATCACATAATTTCTCACAACCCCCATAATAAAAGCAGTTCCAAAAAGCGTAGTTTCAAGTTATCAGTGTAAAAGCATTAGAATAGAACAGCTTCTGCATGTAAGCCCTAAGAACCTAAAGAAAACTGAAGTAGTTAGCAAAAGCAAAGAGCTGGGCTCCAACATGGGGGACCCATAGTGCCACTGACTCCAGTCAGAATGTAAGAATGCAAGAAGAGGCAACACTGTAGGAGATGGTGATCCACCATAAAGGAGATCAGACATCTAAAGGAGTAACTGAAAAAAATAAGGGTAAGAAGGATATAAAAGGGCTCAACACAGCTGTGAGTGCAAGTTGCAGGAGAGCACTACAAGTGCAGGAGAAACGTTTGGTTTAGCCACAGGCACTGAGTAAGCAGGCAAGTCTCTGCAAGTGAGAACAAGTATTTAAAAACAAACTCTGCTTTTTCAGAGTATTATTTGTTGTAAGAGCACAGGTAACCTGGGGATTTACTTGCTTATTAGCTTTTACCCAATCCCACCTTGACATCACTCAAAGGCCCACGGAAAGGGCACTGAAAAGAAGGACTGCACAAGCCCCACGGGTTTCCTCGATGGCACAGGGAGTGCAGTGCTCCTGCACGGCTCCCAGGGTCTGGCTGATCACTCCTCACCACACTTACTGCCCACAGGTCATGTCAGCAGTGTTGTGGTGACCGTCCCTGAGAAGACAGTGAACGTCAGTACAGGTGGCAACGCAACCCTTCTCTGTACATATACAAGTTCTGGATCGCTGGGAAACTTCTTTATCCAGTGGAGCTTTTACAGTGCCAAAGAGACCCAACTGCACACCGTAAGATATTTGCTTATTATATATTGTATATTATAACTATTAAGTTATAATTAAGATATCCTTAAGTCTTCAATGAATCTTATTGGTGTTCCCTCCCTAAAGACAAAGGACTGGGGTGCAGTGAAATTTAGGGGCAGATGCACAAAGTTATTTAGGCTCCCTAGCCCTACTGGCATGCCTGAATTGCTTTGGAAACTTACGAGAAGGTACAAAAGGGATTCAGATGCTCAAACAACTTTCTCCAAGTCGCACAGGAAGCATGAAGCAGAGCAAAGACCAGGTGTCCAAAAACCACACAAGAGCTCCAGCCCCTGAGCCAGCTCCCTTTTCCCTTTTCTGGCAGACGTTTCCTGCCATTGTGAAGGCTGATTTCCTTTCAAGGGTGAGACGCCCTTGCCTATGACAATGTGTCCCCCATTCCAGGATCAAACAAGTGCTCCTTGCCTCAGCCACTATGGCTACTGTTTAGGTGCTTGGTAAGAGCAGCAGTACACAACAACAGGCTACCAGCACAATGTGAGCAGTGAGTGTTTTGGCAGGACTATAGTAAGTTGTCACAGAAGGAAATGTGCCCATGGCAAACTTGTGTTGGCATTTTGCAGCATCCCATGGGTGTCATTGTGGTAGCACAATAATTACAGATCAAAGGCAAATGTTCCCTGCCCTTCCCGAGACCGGAAGATGCAATAGAGCCAAACAGAATAGGTTGAAGTATCAGCACAAAGGCAGCATCAGGACTGTGAAGAACACCAGGTACTGGACAGCTACATGGTGTAACCACTGCCCAAGCCTCTCACGTGGCTGTAAAGGCGTCGTAGAGCAGTCTGGTCTGCTTGGAGGGAGTCGGGGACGGGATGCGTGATTTCCTACACAAACTCACAATACTCTCAGACTTCAAGAGCTGACCATTAATCTGATATTTTGGTGGGGAAATAAGTCCATGAATCTCACTTGCATCATAACCTGCAGGGTAGGAGCTCCCATTATGATTTGCTCCTCATGACTGCTGAGCAATCAGCAACCCCTTCCTTTCTAAGAAGAAATGCTGATTAGAAGTGTTACTGCATCCTTGAAGATGACAGTGATTTTTTCCCATGTCCTGGTGCTGGGCTCGTGCCTGTCAGACATTCAGTCCCTTTTCTCTCCCACTGCTTTTATCCCGTTGATAACATTTTTTTGAACACTCCTGCCTGGTGTTACATCTGAAAGGTGATAGAAATCTGACTTAGAATAGTGTCACAGTCCACACTGAAGGTATTCTCATCATGTTCACCAATTTCCTAGTAATATTATGTTAGGAGGTTTGCCACTGCTGATAGAGTTATACCTTCTATTTGACTGATCAATTATACAGAATTAGACTGTCTGTAATTTGCAGAATGAACAGGATGTAACGTACTTGGCATTGAATGGCAATAGCTAGTATGTAAGAAATAGCAGTTTAACATAAAACAGAACTGCTCAGTACATCTCATATAAAGACTGTATCGGTGCTAAATACAAACACTGGGCCCATCCCAGATTCTGACTCTAGGTGAATGCCGGACCAACACATGCACACCTTGCCTGACTAATTGTATGAACAGCCGTTACTCATAATTTGCTTATTTCAAGCCTGAACTATTTTATTAAATGAAGAATTATTCATGAAAGGGTGGTAGCTGCAGGTTTCGTAAGTTGCACATAGTACAACATGTTGTAATTTTGATCCAGTATGTACCTCGTACATTTTAATCTCTTGTTCAGGTGAGAAGTGCAGCACTGAGATAGGAACAAGCCCAACTTCTCCAGATTTGGTTAGAGTCTCTCTGTTTCACTTGTGCCAAATTTTCCATATTGTAACGCAATAAGTGCAATAATTTTTCTGGTCATAAACAAGAGAAATAAGTAAATTGTAGTTGCAAGTATTTTAGAGGGAGAATCAGACAGTTTCAAGTGATCCAGGAGGGGAAAACCATTCACAGACTGTGATCAATGATGAGAAAATACCCCCTGAGGATCAGAACCATAAAATCCTGTGGGTGGTTCAGAATATACTCAACAAGAACTAACTGATTTGAGGCTACCAAATGTTAGGGAAACCTTTGGATCAATCTCTTCCTTACTCACTCCCGGCTCCTGCAGCTCCCACTGCAGGCAATGGGAATGCTGTGCCTATAAGGACTGTGAGAAACACGGGTAAAAACTGCATCTGGTTTTCTCCCCATTTGAAACTAATTTCACGGTAAATTCACTTTTACACCATAACACACATACATTTGTAATGGATTATTTGCATTTTCATTAAATGAAGTAGGCTCAGTCTGTAAAGGACATGGGTTAGTGACTAATCCCGTTCCCCCTGAGCATGGAGGCAACATTTCCTTTTGCTGCAGCACCAGTTATCCCTGGCTCGCATGCCCAGCCAAGCTCACAGGATGCCCTTCCCTCCTCCTGATGTGCCTGGAGGGTGCACATGTGTGAAGAGCTGCAGGACTCCTTTTAAAATGCTTTTAGCAATGCATTCAGTCCTGAGTTACTTGACCTAGTATCCTTTTGCCACAACATGGCAATTCCTTCCCATTTTGAACCTATTCACAATAAAATCAGTTAATGTGAGCATTGGGAAGAAAGGACTGTGGCTGCTTCTGGAAAATACGGTTTAAGAAATGATATAACACCACTGAACATGAAATTGGATTTTCAACTTCCCCCTAAACCCACTGCAATACGAGGTTGCTAGTTCTGTTTCAGGCTGGTGACTTGTGTGAGCTTCATAAAGGACTGAATGATGAAGGCACACATGTGCTCCTACAAGTTTAAACGAAAAAGTAATCTTTCTTCCTGCAAACCTGCCTTTGCCCTGGTTGCTTGGCACGTAGCTGAAGTTAAGTTACACGTTTTGTTCCAAGTAGGAAATACATGGATGGTAATGGAGGAGATTGCCAGCTTTGGCTTTCGTTGTTTAGATTAAATACTAAAATGCAAGTCAAAAATAAGTTTAATGTGCTGGTAAAATGACAAAACCGACTGCATTTAAAAGACTTGCACCATTTCTATTGAATATCAGAGCAGTAGCTGGCATTTTAAATGGGATTAAATAATCAGATTCTGAAATGTCATCAACAAGCAAACAAACAAATACTTCCTTATAAATAGAACACATTTTCCCTGGAAAAAAATATAGAAAATTCTGGTTCCATTTAAAATTTGCCCTTTCTTTCAGCAACTAAATGGAAAACATTTTCAAATTCTGTTTTTTTAAGTTGAAAATTTCTGCCAGATATTTTGAAGACAGAAAACTTAAAATTATATATATATATAAACTAATGCAAAAAAATACATCTTCTTATCTCACCTGCTGCAATTTTAACGTCTTAACATCTTAATAAATTCTAGGTATCTTGATGACCATGTTATTCACATGGGTAGCATATTCCCAATAATAAGATTAAGCAGAGGGGGTGTTCTCCATAACAAATACAGAGAAGGAGGAATCTTGATTTTAATAAATCATGTTTATGTAAGTAATTGAGAACATGGCTCTCTCTACAGTGGCAGCAAATAATAGAAAAAATTATAGAGTGTTAGAATTAATTAAGGCAAATTTATGTCATTACAATACCTTTGGCTTGAAGAACATGAGAGTTAAATTACTAGATTTTAGGACATAACATATAATAAGCACAGAGGCCATTTTCAATAATTTCTTCTTTTACTTTTTAATAAGACTATCAGTATTTTACTCTGCCCTTTATGTTACAGGTTTTGCAGAGTTTTTAAGTACGTAAGCTCAGGTACAGTCCTGTCTGGAGTGAAGTCAGTCAGATCAGGATCAGGACTAGTGTCAGTGCTAATTTAATGTCCCAGAGTATTCAGGACCAGATTTTACCTTGCCTCAAGGTGAGGCTGTGCTGCTCATCAGTTTGCAGCGCTGCTGCAGGTCTGCCTCTCAACACTGGCTTTGTGAAGCTGGCTGGTGTCTTCTGCTGTTTGTTCTGGTGTTTTCATTTCCTGTTCCACACTGCCCACCTTACACAATGCTGGTGCAGGTGTTCGACACTTGTTAAGTCTTGGCAGTTACACCAAGAGGATGAAATACCACGAACAGGCTGCTCACAGACAGGATGGTGAAAAGGGAGGCAGCAAACAGCGGAATGGCAGGTGTTCAGTGCTGCTTTGAAGGCAGTGCAGCTATGAACAGTGTATGTATAGAATGTAGAATATATAGTGTATGTATAGAATGTAGATCTTTTTACTGTTTGGAGCCTACTTTTGCTTTTTTTCCTGAGAAGTTTCTCCAGTGCAAGTAATTCCCCTCATTTGAATTATATAATGTAAATATCAACTCATGGAAAATAGGATGCCCTATGTATTTTAACTTTTTCTTCTTGCCATTTACCCCTTTGTGACCTGTCTTTTTAATGCTGAACTTCAGTTTTAAATAACAACCCCCAGCTAAAGATCTTGAGAACTTTCCAAAACTGAACTATCTCTATTTTATGTACAGGCAAACTGAGGCAAACACTACTTACTCTGCTCACACAGGGTAAGAGAGTAGATCACAGCCTGGCCATAGTTCATAAGGTAAAGTCTCAACTCCTAAAATCTACATGTGTGCTTCAGTTCATGCTCTGAGTCACTTGGCCAGCCTCGGTGTAAAGTACCTAAGTAAATGTTTGAAAGATTGAAGCCTGCTATTGACTCTGCACAGGCGAGGCTACAGCCTTGCAAAGCCAAATACAACTCCTGAACCCAGCCAGGGCCACACCTTGAGCCTCAAGCCCAGGCCACCCACTGTTAAAAGTAAGTGAAACTATCAGAGACACTGCATGGCTACCCCAGCTATGCCCAGGGCAGAATTCTTGACTGAAACTTTAAATTCACTAGATGAGTAAAGATCATGAATGAATGTTACTTGTAAGAGAAACTGAACTGTTCATAGACCTCTCATGAAAATGTTCTCTAAAATAAGGCAAGCTTGAAAGCACAAATGTGTCTGCTTCTTTCACCCTGAAACC